GGGGCCAGCCCTGACTGCCAGGGGAGAGCGCCCCCTGCTGAGCCCCCACCCCTCTCCCTGCCCCACAGCACCCCCTAGTGCTGCCCTGGGGCCAGCCCTGACTGCCAGGGGAGAGCGCCCCCTGCTGATCCCCCTGCCCCACAGCACCCCCTGCTGAGCCCCCACCCCTCTCCCTGCCCCACAGCACCCCCTAGCACCGCCCTGGGGCCAGCCCTGCCGGCCAGGGGAGAGCGCCCCCTGCTGAGCCCTGCTCCCTGCAGCACAGGCCCCCAGCATGGCAGTGGAGCCTCAGGGTCAGTGGTGACTGCCAGGGACGCCTCCTAAGGCTTCCAACATCTCCACTGCTCCCTGCAGCCCCGGCTCCCCGTGGGATTCCCATCTACGGACTGGGGCAGCCTCATGCTGCTGAGTGTGTGTCACAGAATCACAGACTATCAGGGTTGGAAGGGACCTCAGGACATCATCTAGTCCAACCCCCTGATCAAAGCAGGACCAATTCCCAACTAAATCACCCCAGCCAGGGCTTTGTCAAGCCGGGCCTTAAAAACCTCCAAGGAAGGAGATTCCACCACCTCCGTAGGTAACCCATTCCAGTGCTTCACCACCCTCCTAGAGAAATAGTGTTTCCTAATATCCAACCTAGACCTCCCCCACTGCAACTTGAGACCATTGCTCCTTGTTCTGTCATCTGCCACCACTGAGAACAGCCGAGCTCCATCCTCTTTGGAACCCCCCCTCAGGTAGTTGAAAGCAGCTATCAAATCCCCCCTCATTCTTCTCTTCTGGAGACTAAACAATCCCAGTTCCCTCAGCCTCTCCTCATAAGTCATGTGCTCCAGCCCCCTAATCATTTTTGTTGCCCTCCGCTAGACTCTCTCCAATTTATCAACATCCTTCTTGTAGTGTGGGGCCCAAAACTGGACACAGTACTCCAGATGAGGCCTCACCAATGTCGAATAGAGGGGAATGATCACCTCGATCTGCTGGCAATGCCCCTACTTATACAGCCCAGAATGCCGTTAGCCTTCTTGGCAACAAGAGCACACTGTTGACTCATATCCAGCTTCTCGTCCACTGTAACCCCTAGGTCCTTTGCTGCAGAACTGCTGCCTAGCCATTCGGTCCCTAATCTGTAACAGTGCATGGGATTCTTCCAACCTAAGTGCAGGACTCTGCACTTGTCCTTGTTGAACCTCATCAGGTTTCTTTTGGCCCAATCCTCTAATTTGTCTAGGTCCCTCTGTATCCTATCCCTACCCTCCAGCGTATCTACCACGCCTCCCAGGTTAGTGTCATCTGCAAACTTGCTGAGAGTGCAATCCACACCATCCTCCAGATCATTAATGAAGATATTGAACAAAACCGGCCCCAGGACCGACCCTTGGGGCACTCCGCTTGATGCCGGCTGCCAACTAGACATGGAGCCATTGATCACTTCCCGTTAAGCCCAACGATCTAGCCAGCTTTCTATCCACCTTACAGTCCATTCATCCAGCCCATACTTCTTTAACTTGCCAGCAAGAATACTGTGGGAGACCGTATCAAAAGCTTTGTTAAAGTCAAGGAATAACACATCCACTGCTTTCCCCTCATCCACAGAGCCAGTTATCTCCTCATAGAAGGCGATTAGGTTAGTCAGGCACGACTTCCTGATCACTTTCCTCTCCTCTAAGTGCTTCAGAATTGATTCCTTGAGGACCTGCTCCATGATTTTTCCAGGGACTGAGGTGAGGCTGACTGGCCTGTAATTCCCCGGATCCTCCTTCTTCCCTTGTTTAAAGATGGGCACTACATTAGCCTTTTTCCTGTCATCCGGGACCTCCCCCGATCGCCATGAGTTTTCTAAGACAATGGCCAATGGCTCGGAATCACATCCGCCAACTCCTTTAGCACCCTCGGATGCAGCGCATCCGGCCCCAGGGACTTGTGCTCATCCAGCTTTTCTAAATAGTCCTGAACCACTTCTTTCTCCACAGAGGGCTGGTCACCTCCTCCCCATGCTGTGCTGCCCAGTGCAGGTCTGGGAGCTGGCCTTGTTTGTGAAGACAAAGGTAAAAAAACCATTGAGTACATTAGCTTTTTCCACATCCTCTGTCACTAGGTTGCCTCCCTGATTCAGTAAGGGGCCCACACTTTCCTTGACTTTCTTCTTGTTGCTAACATACCTGAAGAAACCCTTCTTGTTACTCTTAACATCTCTTGCTAGCTGCAACTCCAAGTGTGATTTGGCCTTCCTGATTTCACTCCTGCAGGCCTGAGCACACAGGCGTCGGGGCGAGGGGAAGGCTGGCTCAGGGGCTAGGATCCAGGCCTAAGACATGGTAGATGCTCCTCCACGACTCCTGTGACTGTGGGCCAGTCGCTGTGCTTCAGTTCCCCTCCTGCGGAAGGGGGCCGGGCAGGTGCGCGAGGACACGGGGGCTGATTGCGAGGGGCTGCGAGATTGACTGACGAAAGATGCTAAGGGGGCTCTGTGAGGGTTAGAGTCACGTGTGGGGCCAGCTTTGCAGGGGAGCTCAGCGGGGTGGGGTGCAAACACTGCAGGGACCCCCTTCTGGATGGGGGACCAACACGAGGTACCTGGGGAGCCCCCAGCTCCCCCCGCCCCCTAGGTGCAACAAGAACACATGCCCAGGGCACGGTTCCAGCAGGGAATGGACAGAGGTGCCTTGTGCTCCCCCCGGCCCCTCCAGCACGTTCGGGGGGAGCGGGAATCTGCTGCTCCCAGTCCTAGGCGGGCGCCCAAGTCAGCTCACAGCTTCTCTGTGGGGCGGGGCGAGGAGGCAGGTGCCCGTGGTGTCCAGCCCCACACTGAGCAGTTCTCTGGTCAGCAGCTCCGGTGCCCCACAGAGGCTCAGGCTGCACCAGGCTCTGGGGCAGGTCTGGGGGACGGAGCATGGAAGCAAAGCAGGGTTAGGGCCCATGGTGACGGGCACCGTAGCTGGCGAGCAGTGGGGTCCCCTGCCCACTCCCTCACCCCTGCGTTCTTGTGGCACAGGTGTCGGGGATGGGGCTGGTGTCGGGGCCCAGGGCCCCACCAAGGGGGTGGTGACAGCTCTCTCCTGCCCCAGCTGGCTCGGTGCCCTGTGAGCACCCACAGCCCTGGGCAGGACACAGTCCGGCAACCCCCCACCGCACCCAGCGGGCAGCACCTGAATTCATACACAGCCCCGCCCGCCGAGGGACGCCCTGCCCCGGCCAGCTGGGGGTGCCAGGGGCCTGCGTGTGGCCAACCCACAGGGGTCTGGAGCACTGCCCTGACAGGCCCCCTCGGCAGGGAGCGGAGCCAGGGTGGGGGGATTCACACAGGGGGGCTTGGAAGGGACACCACAGCCCAGCCTGCCCCCCCAAGTGACTGGGAGGGGACCCCTTTTTCCCACCCTGTCCCCAGCGTGACTCGGCGAATCCCGAGCGCCTCCACCTCAGGGCTGGTGAGGCGGAGCTGGGCCCGAGGCCAGGGGGATGGGCGCCAGACCGGGCTGTCCCTACCCTGGGGCCGCTCGCAGGGTGCACGGCCCTTTCAGCCGCCCCGGCTGCTCATGGAAGGGGCCGCAGCCCCTGACCTGCCCCCAGGCTCCTGCCCCCCTTACCCGGGGCCGGCCAGGGGCTCAAACAATCCACGAAGCACTCAAAGCTGAGCCGGAAGAACCTCCTGGGGCTGGTGTGACGTTATTGACATAAACTGGGACCATATAGATCATTGTTGCAACCAAGGTCCTGTAGTGGCACCCAAATCTTGTATAAAGGGGTCAAATGGGGTGTCTAAGACAAGGTTATGGTTTACTGGTTATGATTATGCTGTCTATATGTGTGTATCAGTTTTGTAGTTGAAGTTACGAATATTGGCTCTATACTGTCTGTATGGCAAACTTATGCTATGCTTCTGGGTGACATCCCAGACAAGCTGGGATTAGCTCTGCCTAGCCTGCTTGATGGCCCATTAAGGACCATCAGCTATACAATGGACCCATTGAGAGAAGGCCAATATGCCTTCAGACTCAGCAAAGTATGCAGGGACTGGCCCATGTGACTCCAGGCTCCATTTTGCTGTAATTTTCCACAGTGAGAACAAAGAGGTGTTCTTACACCTGGAAAAGACTATATAAGGCTGATGCCTCATCTCCATCTGGTCTTCAATCCTGCTTCATACCTCTGGAGGGACTT